ATGTATGAAGATGATTTCGGTGGGTTGGATAGTAAGTAGCGCCATTCCTTTGAAAGTTCGTGAGAATCCAAGGGGTAAACTGGAAGACACCCCTGGAATCCAGTTTGGATCTGGAAATGGCAGTCAGCACAGCATGATTTCTTGCAGCAATGTAACGCTCCAAGAAAGTAATCCCATGGGTCTCCGGCCGCGGAAGATACAACGCTGTCCTCAGCCTGTTGATGCCCTAACCGTTGCAAGATCCATAGATGCCAAGAGAACTCCAGCATTTGGAAAAAAAACAACTGGGCTGCACCCTGAGCTCCAAACCCAAGATCTTCACTCAAACCGGAATCCGTGAACCTCAAATCAAAACCCCAAAGTCCTAGGCCCTAAACCCTAAATAATTTGGCAGCTTGCATTTTCTTTTCCACTCCCCCATACCTCTGTAGAATTCCTACATGCCCCATGGGTCCCCATATAATCCCGTGTATCCCTATATAGTCCTACATATCCGTCACTAGCGCTTAGATGTTACTACGCATACCCAACAACTGCTGCACAGGTGAAGCTGGTCCAGGGAAGCGCAGACCGGACCCGGTGTGCCAAGCTCAGCTTGGCTTTGGTGTGTAGGGTTTAGGGTGTAGGGTATAGGGATTAGGGTTTAGGGTTTAGGGTATAGGGTTTCAGGTTTAGGGTTCAGAATTTAGGGTTTAGGGTCCAAGTCAAGTTTGTACAGGTTGTTTAAGGATATTCAGGTGTGTTTATAAGTTTATGCGGCACATATAGGGATGTATAGGGATTATATTCAGATACGTAGGGGTTCAGGGTTGAATCCTTTCTGAGGTTGCAGGGGCCGTGCAAGGCGTAAGGGGCACTATGTGGGGTCATCAAGATCATACTCTATTCTTGTATATTATGGTATATGAACGTATTTTAGGGTATATCATAGTATATTATGGTATATTATACCATAATCGGAAAAAAGTATGCTGAAAGACCAACATGAAAAAAGGTCCCCAATATACGTAGGCCCACTCCCCAACCTTCGACAAGAGTGCAGCTTGGTATCTAGTGCAAGATGCACAGCGAAAGCGGAAACACAAATCATGCCTGCGGTTTATGAAGACATCGGAGGTGGAGGATTCTCGCAAGATCCTTGCTACAGTAGAACCCTTGTGAGACAGTTGTTGTCTGGCAACAGATTGGAAGACTCAGCAGATACGTCTCAAAAGAACCAGGAGTTTTTCACGTTTCCATGATCTGCCCAGTGTCATTGTCAGCCCAGGTCAAGCAACCACGCATGATGTGAGCACCTGAGTAGCCGGAGATGGGTCCTGCTTCATTAAGGGTTCTATTTGTACCCTTTCCTTTTTGTGGCCACGCAAAAAAGCCTTCTGTTAACATCACCAAGTTGCTCACGCCCATGGTTTGTTGGGATCAGGGAACTGCTCGTTTCATCTGGGGTGGATTTTGCAAGTACCTGAGGTTTCCTGAGGTGGCATGGCTTACGTAACACTTGCCAAGGGCTCCTAAATCAGCAGATTAGTCGAGTGCAAGGACAGCAGGGGCTGAAAATACTTGGTAGCCTTATTTTGGCAAAGAGTCCACTTTTCTTACTTTTGTAGTTTCCATTTTCTTTTCCATTCCCCTACATAAGCCCAATATAACCCCAATGTACTATATAGTAGTTTCCATGCTTCTGGCTTTGCAAAAGTTTTTTTTGGTTTCTGTGCTTAGCGGCCCCGAGAAGTGAAGGCACGAAGGTCCCAGTTCCACTTGGGTGGTTGTCAAAATTATGGTCCCTTTTTGGGTACCCTAAATATTAGGTGCTGTATTATAATAGGGATCCAAAAATGCTCCATAATTTTGACAACCACCCAAATGGATTCCAGCTGACACCCTGGGTCTCTGAACAGGCTAGCTTCCATCCGGTTGGCTCTACCTGAGGGCTTAAAGGACGTAGATACACGAAGACTCATCGCATTGGCGAGCTCACCGGGATTCTCTGCATTGGCTTTGCATACTAGTAGCTTTGCATGGAGGGAGTGCACTGAAGAAGCCTAAATACCTGAAAGGGTGCTTTCGTGACTTGGCCTGCTACTGCCACTGTTCCTGATGGTTGTACAAATCATGTGCAAGGCACGTGAAAATCTGAGATCTGAACAATTGATAGCATTATCTTCTCGCGTTTCTACAGACTGTTCATGGTGTTCACGACAGCCCCTGTCAATATTGCACACCTACGCACCCTGTTTGAACAAGATTTGGAAGCTGCCCTGCTGTTCCAAGATGCCGGTTGGTGTGCTTGATGATGGAAGCGGGACCTACATAGCTGCTGAGCCGACATGTGTTTGGAAATTCAGGTATCTTGTATGTGTTCGAAGCTTGCAGGGAGGAACGTGCAGGTTGCTGGAGTGTTGTAGCATGGGCAACATAGGATGAGAAGTTTTGCGAGAACAAGTCTTTTCTGTCAGTCAAAGGCTGGATAGGTGGATTCACTTCCACCCAAACGGGAGGTTGAGCAGGGCAAAGAATTTCAAGCTCATCAGTATGCTTGGAACTGGGTGCCTGGGTGCTCAGCTTTAACAAGCATCTCCATTAGATCCCAAACTGCCACAGCAGTGTGGCCGATAGAGCCAAGTGCCAGATGCCGTGCTAACAACCAAAGGAGTCCATGGCCATTTAAATTTAGCTTATTGAGCTAAGTATGCCTCCATCACAGCCGCCTGCCGCATCTGGAGAAAAAAAATCAGGTGTCAGACTCCCAAGCCTTCGGCATTACAGTCATAATATGGCCCGTAAGGATGATAGTGATAATAATAGTAAAATAGTAATAATACTGACATTAATGATAAAAGTAATAAGGCCCGCCAGGCAGCCATGGGCATGACGAACGGCCCGCTGGCACTTCCGGCCCCAGGGCTGACGGCGTTCATCAAGAACACGCTGAAGGTTTACCCGAGCCCTCAGCACCCTTGTGTCGGGTCGAGTCTTGAGGTTGACGGAGCCACTTTTGGTTTCATGGCTTTGGATCGTGTCTACAGAAGTGGGGGAGCTTAGTTGTGGTTTGGGGCTCCTGAATCTGATATGCCTACCATCCCGCGTGGCTCGTGTTCTTTGGCTGCCTGTCCTTCGTTCACCACGGTCTTGCACGTAACGAAGCTGCTTGCCGCGCCCAACTCAAGGGCCTGGAGCAGGCAGCCCTGGAAGCGAAGCTATGATGGGGCTTCGCAGAATTGGCAACGGAGAATCAAATGGGAAACCAAACGGCATGGAAACTGGCATTCTGGAAGGGTTCTGTGGTAATCCCTGGGTCCAAAAGATGTTGGGGGACAAAGCCAGCAAGCTTTTATGAGACAGCCCCAGGGCCAACGCCTTAAAGGTTGCGGGTCTATGGTTACAGGTTTCAGGGTTTTGGGTCAAGGTTTCGGGTTTAAGGTGGCAGCTAGTAGAAACGTGGCAATCAAGGTCTGCAAATGTCTGCAACCTAAGTCCCTCTTGTGGGCCAAGTAAAGTGCATGGCGGCGCTAGCCAAGGCTTGGGTTCTGGGTCAAGCCTCCTACAGGGTTTAGGGGTTCAGGGTAGTACCCCAAGAATGGAGAATCAAATACAAAAGCAAACGGGAAACCCGATGGAAACTCGGATTATGTGGCTAGTGGGAAAGGAGTTTTCACAAACCTGCCAGCGTAGCTTTTGCATGGACGCGAGCTTGCGTGAGCAGAGACATGCAAGTTTTGCTTCAGGATGGCAATGATGCGCGGCCTTTGTTGAGAGATGGCTTGCGTTTGGAGGCTGGAGTGGATGACAAGGAGGAGGAAAAGAGGAAGAAGAAGTAGTAGGAGAAGTAGGAATAGGAGTAGGGGCCGTGACAGTAGCTTCGGAGATGGTGTCAATTGAGACTGATGGTGGGGGCTTCTCAAAGTCATGCATGCGTTCCTGAGATCCCTAGTGGCAGATCAGGCTTATGGCGCAGGTTAATTCTGATGAGCACTTGATGCAATCCCTGTAGAATTCCTTCAATACTCTTCATACAGTTTCATATGAATTCTGTTGTAAACGCCTATTGGGTCTTCTGCGACAGGGTGCGTCCCTCCGAGCCCAGCGCGCAGATGAGATGGCAAGAGCCTGAAGAGATTGCAGTTTTTGCGGGATGCCTGTTTATTGGATTTTCTCGAAGATAGGTACCCCCCAGTTCTCCTCCAAATTCATGATGTGGACCTTCAGAATGGATTCCTATGCTTACGACATCTTGCACCCTTCATGGCACGGGCAAAGGCGGGTTAGCATTGCCACTTTGCATGGCGCGAGCCCACTTTCCAGTCTCGGCGACATTCAGACCGCGATTATCATTGAGCAACAGCCGCTCAGCAGTGTTGCATAGAGTCCACAGCGATTTGCTGAAGCACTTTGAAAGTAACGGGCTTTTCACGGACAGAGTTCCATGCTGACAGACCCCAAAATCAAGCACTAAGCAGGATCTCTTCACTAGGACCTAGACTTTGCAAAACACTACCCAATGACAGTCCGGGTCCAACCTTAATCCCTTAGCCGCATAAATCCAGACATGCCTATAGAACCGTTTGAACCCTCAGGTAGCCTAACAGTCCATGACCCCGCAGCACTGCGCCATGCTGCGACTGCTATGCCTGCTGCTGGCCTGTGCGGCAACAACAGCACAAGGCGCAGACGCACTGAGCAGTAAGTTCCTGTGTGCCGCTTTTGGGTGTCCTCATCACCGGGAGCCTGGGTTTCTTTTTGGGGTGCATACGGCGGTCTTCCGGATTGTGATTCCCCACATGATGCACCATCACGTCATGCCTTCTGCATGGCACCGCGCCTTCCGAGGTGCGGAGCTGGGCCGGTGTGAACTCCTTTTTTTGCACATGCTCTGCCAACCGCAGGCCCCAGCATAGCCTATGGTGGTCTGGCAAGTGATGATCTGGCAAGTGATGAGCAGACATTGCCTCAACAGCGTTGCCAGGTGCATGGAACCGCACGGCCTACCTCGACAGCGTGAGGCTGGAAATCTGCTCATCAACTTGGCTGATGTGCTGGTGGAAGTGTTGCACAGGGCCGCAGGCCTGCGGGTTCTACGAATCTTCATTGTGGGGACTGAGGGCAACTACAAGAACAGCAGTTCTCAGGCCATGATGTAAACAATAGTCACAGCACAAGCGACAGTGCCTTGCGGCCGCCTCTTGCTGCAAGGTGGTGGATGATGTTGAGACTGGGCACGTTGGTGCATATGATGACCACATCCTCAGCCTGGTGGATGACCTGATGTTTGAGGCTTGTGGGTTCTGCGTGCTGGTGGAAGTCGGATGCTGTCTCATGGAGCACGATGCTAGAAGCCCTTAAGATCCCTCCTGACCATCGAGGGCCTACAACTCGGGCATGTTCAGCATAGAGTGTAATAGCTTGTGCTTCAAGAGAGGTTGAAATGCAGCAGAGGGATGAGACAGTGTGCCCGGTGCCAGGCCTACGAGAGGAACATCAAGCTACTGGGGGGCATCTTCTGCAGAAGCACGTTGTATGAGCTACTGTCACCTGCATCTGGCAAGTGAAAGTCAGCCAAGGCTAGACATTGCACTGCATGACCGCTACTCCTTGGGGTGCTGGCGGGCGGATGCGTACGTTTCTTGGCACATGGGTCTAGTCACAAAGGCATAGAGATTTCCCAGCGCTGTTTTTTCCCCTGCACATATCAGAAGAAGCAGGAAGAATCTTGCAATTCATGATTCTGGGCCCAGGTGACAACTTACAGTCTGCCAAATTCTTGCTGCAGCTGCGATGTGGAAAAGAATCAAGTGGAGCGGTTCTACTCTGACCCTGATATCCAGGACTGTCTCCTACAGTCCTTATAGGGAGTTCTGGTTTTCTCAAGCAATTAATTTGACAGGCCAAATATGGCCTTGAGGAAACGTCTCTGCAGATTTCTGCTGGGCAGATCCACAGGCAGCCTTCGACGCGCGGCTCGTGCACATCCTACAGCACCAGATCCTTGTCCTGAGTCTTTTGATGCTTGCCGCACGATGCTTGCCGCACAGTTGTTGTCTCCTGCTCATTTCTGCAAAGCAAAGATGCCTTTTGATGCGATTCCTTGGACCTGAACCACCTGAAAACAACCTTCGATATTGAGCCTCCGCCAGAGGAATCCGCACTTCAATACCTCGTGGGGGCAGCTGCATGAGGCTTTGGCGGAGTTTGCTAAGATGGATGCTGGTGAGGTATCTTCCTTGCTTGTCTTCTAAGAGGCCTTCGCAGAGAGGTCCTGGGTCCAGAGATGATACTGTGCTGAAATTTTGTTTCGTTCTGTAGGGGTCCTAGACCGTGACCACCTTTACCTTTACCATTTGGGGGTTAGGCAGGGACCCGAAGTTTGGCGACACTAGCGTGGAGGTGGTCCTTTCCTTTGCTCCGCAGAATGAAGCCCAGGGCCACCTCAGGCCAGAAGCTCAGCAGATTTCAGGCACACCTTCGCCACATACCACATACTTGAAGATCCCTCTCATGCTCAATCACAATCCTCCACCAAGCGGAGAATGCTCGCTGTTCGCTGTGCAGCTCAAAATTTTCAACCAAAATTGTAGGAGGAATCCGGTTGAAGGTGTACATTCATGACGCCACTATATTGATGATATGGATGGTTATGAAGATCGATTAAATCTCTTGCTTGGCCAATCAGGTCAGCCCATTTGGCCTTGATATCTCAGCTTTTTATTGCCTGCTGCTCTACACAAGGTCTGTGGACGAGGGTTGGTGGTGCCGCCGAGCGCAGGTGATGAAGGCTCGATGTCCGAAAGTGTTTGAGGCTTCGCAAGCCGAGGGTCTCAGTTTCAAGTACTGAAGGGCAGTGCCCAAAGTACGGCGTGTGCGTCAGAAATCTGAAGGAGACTGATCTTCCGAGTGAAAAAGAGTTGGTTGTTTCGTGAGGCCAACATGCATCCTGAGATTGCCATCTCCACTGGGGGCTCGATTGAGCTCATGGATGCGCTGTACCCGCAGCTCTATGTATGCCCTGAGATTGATGATGCTTGGGCTGTGTTCTCTGGCAACAGTTTCTGTTTGATGTAGAGCACTGCTACCCTGTGTTTGGGTTCGCAGCTGCTTGCAGCAAGCATCCATAGTAGGGGTGGTCTTCCCAGGTGGTGGACATCCACACCTACAGCACTGACTCTCAGAGCGTGAGGACGACTCTGCAAACTGCAGCAACTTGGGCGCTAACCCATGGAAAGCGTGTTCGGCTCCAAGAGTTTGGCTTCCAGGGAGCTGATGCAATAAAGTCTCAGAAGCTCTTCCCCCTCATCCTCGCGTCCAGCGAGCTGGGTATCCCCTTCATGCCTTGGGAGCTTCTCCATCCTGCAAGCTCTAAAGACTTTGAATTCTGGACAGAGGGCGGCTTTTGGCATGGGCTGTCTGCACTGAGCCACGCAGCGCAGCGCCAGGCAACGGTTTTCTCGTGGCCAGAGTTAAAGCTTGCCCAGAGCTACCCAAAGGGGAACTGGCTGCTCTGCCTGGTCAATGCGGAGTGTGCCTCCGGCTGCTGCAGTAACGAGTTCAGTGACGACAAGAAGTACAAGTGCACTCCAGGCGGTAGCAGATGCACGGGCAACCTCCTGGCAGACTGGGTTTTCTGCACTCAGAACAGGGATTGCGCCAACGGCTGCTGCAGCAAGCAGTTTAGCGATGACGGCCGCTACAAATGCACTCCTGGCGGTGCCCCGAGCCTTTGTGGCGATGCTGTGCTACCCAACGGGCAAGCCTGCTCGGCGAATGGCCGCCTGGCAGTTCAGGGACTTCAGATTGAATGACTCAGAGTTTGGGAAAATCATTCTGCAATTGCACATCAAAGGTAACTGCGCCAGCGGTTGCTGCTCTGATGGGCGTTGCCTTGCAAGGGCTCCGCCGGCTCAATGCAAGAAGGCAATATTCTTTGCTTAGATTTGCTTAGTTTTGTGGTTACTACCCAGTTACCGGCCTGTTTCAAGGCGTCGTTTCAGCCCTGCAGCGTGTGCAGATTACAAGGGCCTTTGTTTCCCCCTCGTGCAATCGGCAGTTTCTGCTGCATGCTCGTCCATGGCACAGCACAGCAGAGAGGCCGTCAGAAGAAAGTCAACACGATGACTGTCCGGCAACTTGACGCTTCTTTGATGACATGTGTGCTTTACCGACATGTAGCTGACAATGTTAAGCCTTGCTGCGGGTCACTGCGCACATGTCCTCACCAACATGGCAAGTCCGTTTGACTGCCAATTCTACGAGGCCGCTAGCTTGTGTACAAAAGCGACATCGTCTCCCAGGGTAGCCGCATAGTGTTTGCACATGAGTCTGCATTGCGTATCCAGGTGACACTCCAGCTTGGGCTTAAGCTTTGCTGCCATGGGGAGTCATTGGCACTTCACCCTCTTCTGTGCCCTGCTGGTGGCAAGAGGCAACGCGATGACACGAGCGCGATCACTTGGGGCATGCTACATGAACAGCAATGTTTGCATTCGAAGGTTGGATTGCATGATCATCTACTTATCACAGCTTGCTTCAAGATGACTGCGTGAACAAGTGGCTCAGCAAGTGGTGACTCTTCATGCTCAGTAAAAACTGGAGAGGTGCATCTGTGGGCACCAACTGGGCCGGTGTGAACTCCTTCTTTGCTCATGCGCTGCCCACTACAGGCCTGCTCTCCAAGAGAGAGGTATGGAAAACAGCTGCTTGATTGATCTCTCAGGCCCAGGCAGCCGCACTGCGTATTTGGACCACATGAGGCAGAGGGTGCAGTCTGACTCTGTGGTCGTGGTGTCTTGCAGCGCCAGGGATGCAGGGCTTCGAGTGCTCCGCATCTTCATCATCTCAACCACGCACAACTACAAAAGCAGCGGGTCCCAGGCGCATTCGTGATGTGCAATTTATCTCCAAGCCCTTAGCCAACTGGAGAGGCAGTGGACGATGTTGAGAGCAAGGAGGTCGGCAGCTACGACGACCGCATCCTCAGCCTGGTGGATGACTTGATGGTGGAGGCCAATCTGGTGTCCCTGCAAATCAGTAAAGCACGACTGCAAGATAATGCGGAGAAGTAAGTGAGTTGTCAGCCCTACGTAGTACATGCCCAACCCCTTAAGCTTGAAAGTGATGGTGGTGGTGGTGTGGCGGTGGTGGAGGTGGAGGAAAATACGCGCTGCACCAAGTTGTCATTTGTTTGCCGGAGGCGCGCGAGCGAGGGATCAAGCCACCTGGACTGAACCGGCAATCGTCGAGATCTTGATCCTGATTTCAAGGTTAATAAGCAAATAGTAATAATACTCATAGTAATTTTTATAGTACGGAAATTAAGAATAATAGAAATAGTAATAACATACAACTTGTAAGACTGTTTTTCGGCCAGGCTTGACATAGCTCTGCACGATCGCTACTCGCTGGGCTGCTGGAGGATGGACGCCTACGTTGCTATGCCTGCAGTCAGCTTGCGGGTCTCTAAACCCTAATATAACCCCAATATTCTATAGTACTTTCCATTTTATTTTCCATTATCCCTATAATTCCCTATATATGATATGGGTAATTATTTAAGAAAAGCCCAAACTACACACACTGGGCCAATCTCAGCATGTGCATTCTTGTCGATCATGCTTCATTTGTCGGACTAGCGCCTCAAGAAGCCTAGAGCTCAGGTGACCAAGTACAACCTGCCGAGCGGTTGCTGCAAATGCATCACAGCAAATAACCAAGTGGACCGCTTCTACACGGATCCAGAAATCCAGGCAACTTCCCGTGCAGAAGCCCTGACATTAGTGCAAGGTGTTCTCTGGAATTTTGCCAGGCTTGTTTTGATGCCAGTCTGTTCAACTCGCGTTCTTGGCATGCCAACTGCAAGAGGGAGCTGTTGAGTCGTTCCACTCTGACATGCCAGGCGAAATTTGACGAGCGCCTCGTCCACATCCTGCAGCATTGGCAGCTGGGCACAGAAACTGCATGCAATCGGACCGAGGATTGGCACAAATTGAAACACATCAATCGTTACAGAACATGCAGATGCTAAAGCTCCTCTGCCATTCATTTTTTCCGGGCACTTGAAGCGTACCGCAAATCCAAGGAATCCTCACTTCAAGAAGCCATGGGGCCACCTCCACGAGGCCTTCAACTGCTCTGTGCACTGCTAGTACGTCGTGGCCTCCTGGCAGGTCGTTGCTTCCTTTTCGCCGGAAAACGAAGCTCAGGGCCACCTCTGGCTGGGTCTTTCAAAACGAGAGACACACTGCAGTAGACAATGAAGACTTGTCTCGTTCTATTTTACGCCGAGATCCTTGGAAGGTCAGTGGACAAAGGCTGGTGGTGCCGTCGCGCGCAAGCCATGAAGGCACTTCCCTTTGCGGTAGGAGTTTTACACAGGCGAAGCTAGGGAGTCTGAAGACCATCTTTCCTGCTCCTGCTGCCTTGCATTCAGGCCAACATGCATCCGAGCATCCCGGTCTCAACAGGAGGCTCCATCGATCTCGCAGATGCTCTGTATCAGCAACTGTACGTTTGCCCCGCGATCGATGACGCTTGTTATGGGCAGCAGTATGTTTGTTAATGTTTAGTTTTGACCACTCGTGATTCAGCTGGTGCAGTGGGTGGTCCCGCGTAAGGTTGTGGACATACACACTTACAGTACCGATGCCTGTGATATCAACAAGATCGCGCGGATTTCTGCCACCTGGGCCTTGGGTCAAGGCAAGAGAGTGAGGCTTCAGGAGTTTGGGTACAAAGGTCCGGATTCGCAGAAGACCAACAAGTTGATCCCTATAATCAGTGCAGCAAACGAGCTGGCTGTTCCTTTTATGCCCTGGGAGCTCCTGCGCCCGGAGAACGGCAAGGACTACGAGTTCTGGGTAGAGGGTGACCTCTGGCATCAGCTAGCCTTGCAGAGCGAAGTTGCTCAGAAAAAGGTGTCAGCCTTTTCTTGGCCAGAGCTGCCAAGCAGCCAGCCACCTCAGCTCTTGGCCAACTGGCTGCTCTGCCTGGTCAATG